ATATGTGTCCCCTAGTTTTAGATAGGGCTGATAAAATTATAGACATTGAAAAGGATTCTGACCGTCAACCCTATCTATGAATCTCATAATTTTATAGACTTCTATCAAGTCTCCCCTCAGCCTCTGCTGCTCCAGAGAAAAAACCGAGTTTTTCCAGCCTCTCCTTACAGCTCACATCCTCTAATCCGCGCAGCATCCTGATGAACCCCTTCTGCACCCTCTCCAAAGCCTCCACATCCTTCCTGTAATGTGGTAACCAGAACTGAAAGCAATACTCTTAAGTGTGGCCTAACCAAAGTCTTATCAAGCAGCAAACTGCCCAGTTTTTGCCCACATTCTGTTTCTGGAAATGTAGTGGGTTTTGGAGGAGCTATATCTCCGTGGAGATGAGAACTAGGGTTTACTGGTGTAGTAAGAAAAAAACCCCCACAAACCCAGGAACAGGACAAGCCCCCTGGATTGGAGGCGTTTGTGAATGCTGCTGGGATGGATTGTTGTGGAGCTGGGATGGTGGGTGATCCTGACCAGGAGATCTGGGGAGACACCATCTGAGATGGAATTAGAATATAAAACACGAGTGAGTGAGTCTGGAAGGTAGAGGGAGGAAGGAGATGAGGTTAGCAAAGATAATCGGAACCTGCCTTCCTGTGAGGAAGCTGAGGACTAAAACCTGACTCTACAACCTCAAGAAAAGGACCATTTTACAAAAAAGGACTTTTTAAAATTAATTCTCCTGTGTTGCTGACCAGGCAGCATTTATTGCCCATCCCTAATTGCCCAGAGGGCACTTAAGAGTCAAGCACATTGCTGTGGGTCTGGAGTCACATGCAGTCCAGACCAGATAAGGATGGAAGTTTCCTTCCCTAAAGGACATCAGCAAAGCAGATAGGATTTTCCTGACAATCATCAGTAAGACTCTATATACCAGATTCTTTACTGGATTTAAACTCCACCAACTGCTAACGGCAGGATTCGAACCCGGGTCCCCAGAACCTTACCTGAGTTTCTGGATGAACAAGCCAGCAATAATACACTAGACCACTGCCACTGAGGAAGGAGTTACTGTATTCTTAGAAAGGCAAGTGACTGAACCTCATTGTAAGCTTTGTTTGCACTGTTGTTTTGCAAGTGGTTGGGGTGGGGAACAGTGTGAACATACACAGCCACGTCCCCAGGCTGTGTGGATGCAATGTGAGACTCGGCTGGCAAGAGGTTGCTGATTGGTCTGTGCAATTCTGACAGGTCGTAGATACGAAGGTAATCTGCCTGACGCCAGCTCTCTGATTGGTTCTAAGGTGGCTGACAGCTTGTTGGCGGTGAATGATATAGTGAGAAGCTGTCGGACCTCTGGATGGGGAGGGCCTGCACATTTCTCTCCAGTAAAATATGAAAACCTGAAGCGAGCCAGTTCATTTTTCTCCCCACAGTTGCTGCAAGTTGTTGCTAATAACCCAGAGACTTTATAACTTGTGAACCAGTCACTCTGTGCCTCATGTGAAGTGAAAGAACATACATAAGAACGAGGAGCAGGAATAGGCCGTCTGGCCCTTCGAGCCTGCTCTGCCATTCAATAAGATCATGGCTGATCCTTTCGTGGACTCAGATCCACTTACCTGCATTCTCACCGTATCCCTTAATTCCTTTATTGTTCAAAAAAAATCTACCTTTTTTTCAAAAACATTTACTGAAGTAGCGTCAACTACTCCACTGGGCAAGGAATTCCATAGATTAACAACCCTCTGGGTGAAGAAATTCCTTCTCAATTCAGTCCTAAATCTGCTCCCTCTAATCTTGAGGCTATGCCCTCTTGTCCTAGCTTCACCTGCCAGTGGAAACATCCTCTCTACTTCTATCTTATCTATTCCCTTCATAATTTTATATGTTTCTATAAGATCCCCCCTCAATCTTCTGAATTCCAATGAATATAATCCCAATCTACTCAGTCTCTCCTCATAAGCCAACCCCCTCAACTCCGGAATCAACCTAGTGAACCTCCTTTGCACCCCCTCCAGTGCCAGTACATCCTTTCTCAAGTAAGGAGACCAAAACTGCACACAGTACTCCAGGTGCGGCCTCACCAGCACCTTGTACAGCTGCAACATAACCTCTCTGCTTTTAATCTCAATCCCTTTAGCAATGAAGGACAAAATTCCATTTGCCTTCCTAATTACTTGTTGTACCTGCAAACCTACCTTCTGTGATTCATGCACAAGGACACCGAGGTCCTTCTGCATAGCAGCATGCTGCAACTTTTCACCATTCAAGTAATAATCCTTTTTACTATTATTCCTACCAAAATGTATGACTTCACATTTATTTACATTGTATTCCATCTGCCAGACCTTCGCCCACTCACTCAATGTATCTATGTTCCTCTGCAAAGTTTCACAGTCCTCTGCACACTTTGCTTTACCACTCATCTTAGTGTCATCTGCAAACTTTGGCACCCTACACGTGGTCCCCAACTCCAAATCATCTATATAAATTGTAAATAATTGCGGTCCCAACACCGATCCCTGAGGCACACCACTAGTCACTGACTGCCAGCTAGAATAGCACTCATTTATCCCCACTCTTTGCTTCCTGTTAGTCAACCAATCCTCTATCCATGCTTTACCCTTAATGCCATGCATCCTCATCTTATGTAGTAGCGTCTTGTGCGGCACCTTGTCAAAGGCCTTTTGGAAGTCTAGGTACACCACATCCACTGGGTCCCCATTGTCCACCTCGCTCGTAATGTCTTCATAGAATTCCAAAAGATTTGTCAAGCATGACCTGCCCTTCATGAACCCATGCTGCGTCTGCACAACGGGACAATTTCTATCAAGATGCCTTGCCATTTCTTCCTTGATAATAGACTCAAGCATCTTCCCCACTACAGAGGTTAAGCTAACCCGTCTATAATTCCCCATCTTTTGTCTACTTCCCTTTTCAAACAGTGGCGTCACATTTGCTGTTTTCCAATCTGCTGGGACTGCCCCAGAGTCCAGCGAATTTTGGAAAATTACCGCCAGTGCACCTGCTATTTCTCCCGCCATCTCTTTTAGTACCCTGGGACGCATTCCATCAGGGCCAGGAGACTTATCCATTAGCTCCATTAGCTTGCCCAACACTACCTCTTCCGTAATTATGATTGTTTCCAGGTCCTCACCTACCTTCGTCTCTTTGTCTATTACTGGCATGTTATTAGTGTCCTCCACTGTGAAGACCGATACACAATACCTGTTCAATGCCTCCGCCATTTCATCATATCCCATAACTAAATTCCCCTTCTCATGCTCTAAAGGGTCAATGTTTACTTTCGCCACTCTTTATCGTTTTATATATTTATAGAAACTTTTCCTATCTGTCTTTATATTCTGTGCTAGTTTTTTCTCATGTTCTATCTTACTTTTCCTTATAGCTCTTTTTGTGGCTTTCTGTTAACCTTTAAAGTTTTCCCAATCTTCTAGTTTCATGCTGTTTTTGGCCACTTTGTATGCCTTCTCTTTCAATTTGAAAGCCTCCCTTATTTCTTTAGACACCCATGGCAGATTACCCCTTTTCTTACAGTCCTTCCTTTTCATTGGAATATACTTTTGCTGAGCACTTTGAAAGATTGCTTTGAAAGTCCTCCACTGCTCGTCAACTGTCCCACCATAAAATCTTTGTTTCCAGTTTACTTTAGCCAAGTCCTCCCTCATTCTATTGTAGTTCCCCTTGTTCAAGCACAGGACCCTGGTATTGGATTTTATCTTCACACTCTCCATCTGTATTCTAAATTCAACCATACTGTGATCACTCCTTCCAAGAGGATCCCTAACTATGAGGTCATTAATTATTCCTGTCTCATTACACAGGACCCTGAAGGAAAAGATTAGAGAACTGAAGGAATTGGGAAATCAAAAGGAAGATTCCATCAAATCCATGTCCCTCCAAACCCTTCCTATTTATTTACCCATCCAGATGCCTTTTAAATGTTGTAATTGTACCAGTCTCCACAACTTCCTCTAGCAGCTCATTCCATACACGCACCACCCTCTGTGTGAAAAAGTTGCCCCTTACATCCCTTTTAAATCTTTCCCCTCTCACCTTAAACCTACGCCCTCTAGTTTTGGACTGTCCCACCCCAGGGAAAAGTCCTTGTCTATTTACCCTATCCATGCCCCTCATGATTTTATAAGCCTCTATAAGGTCACCCCTCAGCCTCTGATACTCTAGGGAAGATAGCCCCAGCCCATTCAGCCTCTCCCTTTAGCTCAAACCCTCCAACGCTGGCAACATCCTTGTACATCTTTTCTGACCCTTTCGAGTTTAACAACATCCTTCCTACAGCAGGGAGGCCAGGATTGCACACAGTATTCCAAAACTGGCCCTAACCAATGTCCTGTACAGCCGCAACATCACCCTCCCAACTCCTATACGCAATGCACTGATCAAAAAAGGCAAGCCTACAAAACAGCTTCTTCACTATCCTGTCTACCGCGACTCCACTTTCAAGAAGCAATGTACCACCCCATAGGCTCTCAGTTGTGGCGACAGATTAATAGATGGGCCCTAATGTAGCACCCAGGGGAGTCAGTGGGACTTTGTCATTCCCTCCCTCCACAGCCTGAACGCTGTGGAGATTATTTTACCCATTGCTCTTGTCCTAGTGCTCTCGGAGAACACCCGCAGAGAGCAGGATACTCTCCACAACCAGCCGAGACAAACCCTCGAACCCTGACAGAAATCACACCAGGTTCAGGGAACGGCAGGCTTTCCCACGAGTTTTATTTCTGTCGGAGGTCGAAAAACAATCTGGATAAATCCCAGCACCGCTACAATGTCACACGTTGAGAGTCCGCCCGATC